CTGCGGCATATGCGAGGCTGGCTAACATCAGAACGGCGTTCAGGAACCTGTGTAAGGAATCATTCAGAATCTTGTACACCACATATGTAAGACCAATCCTGGAGTATGCGGCCCCAGCATGGAGCCCGTACCTTGTCAAGCACAAGACGAAGCTGGAAAAAGTCCAAAGGTATGCTACTAGACTAGTCCCAGAACTAAGAGGCATGAGTTATGAGGAAAGGCTGCGGGAAATGCACCTCACGACACTGGAAGACAGAAGAGTAAGGGGGGACATGATCACAACCTACAAAATCCTCAGGGGAATCGACCGGGTAAACAAGGACGAACTTTTCAACACTGGTGGGACGCGAACAAGGGGACACAGGTGGAAGCTGAGTACCCAAATGAGCCACAGAGACCTTAGAAAGAACTTTTTCAGTGTCAGAGTAGTTAGCAAATGGAATGCATTAGGAAGTGATGTGGTGGAGGCTGACTCCATTCACAGTTTCAAATGTAGATATGATAGAGCCCAATAGGCTCAGGAATCTGTACACCAGTTGATTGACGGTTGAGAGGCGGGACCAAAGAGCCAGAGCTCAACCCCCGCAAGCACAATTAGGTGAGCACAATTAGGTGAGCACACACACACACACACACATATATATATATATATATATATATATATATATATATATATATATATATATATATAACAAAATCCTTTGAAATGCTTAGATACCCATCTTTAACAAATACCCCTTGAAATGCATATACACCCATTTGAGAAATTAACCCTTGAAATGCATAAACATCCTATCAATAATAAATTACCCTTAAAATATGTAAATACCCATCATTAACAATATCCCTTGATAATGCTTAAACGTCCAATCTTTAACAAAATTCTATGAAGTGTAATAAATATATTTGGAACAGAGATTGATTAACCTCAAGTGTCCTGAAGAAAAACATTTACACATAAGATGTTAAATATACTAAGAATATGTGTAAATACTAGATGTGGTAAATGAACTTTGCTATAAATTATTTTGAAATGTGAAAAATATAAAATAAGTAAAGGTTAGGTTCGGGTATGTTAAGCTAAGATGTACATAAATTGTTGGGAAGATTGTGTACAAATAAGACAATATATGGGGTTATGATAATACGTAACAATAAGCTATTTACTGAATAGCAGAAACAATTGGTTTCAAAAATTAGTACCCAGATGACTGGAGAACATTCAGCCCTTTTAACCCTGTCGTAGCTCAGTCGATTAAGGCAGTGTCTGGGATGCTCCCGGACGCAGGTTCGAATCCTCGTCACGGCCCGTGTGGATTTGTTCATGTAGGAGAATGCATAGAACAGAGTGAACATACGGGGAACATGAACTGATCTTGCAGAGAACAAGAAAACACGGAAAGAATATATAGAGTATACGAAGAATAAACAGGGAACTTGTGAAGAACATGCTAAGAACAATATGAGAACATGATAAAGTATACAGTGCACATGAGGGGAATTTGTAGAGAACATGAAAGAGAAAGTGAAGAACACAAAAATACAGTAAGATTATTAGTAATTGTTGTATTTCAAGTTCTTGAAGGTGCAGAGTTGTGAATGAATCTGGGGAAGGGGGAGTAGAGGAATGGGTGAGATGTGGGAGAGAAAGAGGTGAGGGAGGGGGAGATAAGGGTGTGGGGGGGAGTCGGGAAGGTAAGGGAGGGGGGTAGGTAAGGGGTGAGGGAGATGGGAGAGACGACGGCACAGGGTAGGGGTAAAATGAAGGGATAAATGTATGGAAGGAGTAAGGCGTGGAAGGGGGGAGATATGTGGGGGGGGTGAGAGGGGGGTAGATGGGGAGCTGGGGGTAAGAGAAGATATGGGCGCGGTAATTGTTTTGAACTATTTTACTACGTACGAAATGTAGCGGCCTTATATCATTAGACAATTTATCAGATAATAACGGTGTTGTACGAATGAACTAAGGCGGGGGACGGGAGCTGCAACTCGGTAACTAGATTGTTGTATTTTACTATTTCTAAAATAAAGCAGTTTTACATTTCCGGGGATTTGGATAGATACTAAAGAAGTAGTACGAGTGATCTAAGGCGGGGGACAAGAGCCAGAGCTCTGTTACGGCTTTGATCTTATTTACTACGTCCGAAATACAAGGCTTATAATTTTCAAGGGAATCGATTGGTTATTTACGAAGATAGGAGACACTACCAAGACGGGGACAAGAGCTGGAGCTCCGTAACTTTATTTTCATTTCTTAATACGTCTGAAATATGACTGTATCATATCATTTAAAATATCTGTTTAACCGTAGCGTTTCGATAGGAACGCCTCAAGGGCGACTTTGGCTCTGAATTTCCCTTATAAGAAATCCTTAACAAACTAATAAACTTATTATCTGAAAAAAATCAGTCTTAAATGGGTGGCATCTTAGCGCCAAGGGAAGGGAAGTATCAGGGGGAAGCACAAAGCCATTACGACTTTGTAGCACTGAGAAGGGGCCAGGATAAGGATTTGGGATGGGACGAAGGAAAGGAATGGTGCCCAACCACTTGTGGACGATCGGGGATTGAACGCCGACCTGCATGAAACGAGACCGCCGCTCTACCGTCCAGCCCAAGTGGTTGGGCATCTTAGCGGCAAGTGAAAAGCTGAGACAATTTAGCCTGGAAACCCCTGACAACTTAGCCTATCTTAAACTCAGACAAATTTTCCTTGAAACCCCCTGACGGGTCCGCCTAGACCCGTCGGTTTGGGCTGACCCGTCATATATGCTACTAGTGTCCCCCCTCACACAGCAGTCACTGTTCCACCCCCCCCCCAGTGTCCCCCTCACACAGCAGTCACTGTTCCACCCCCCCAGTGTCCCTCCTCACACAGCAGCCACTGTTCCACCCCCCCCCCGTGCCCCCCCCCTCACACAGCAGCCACTGTTCCACCCCACAGTGCCCCCCCTCACACAGCAGCCACTGTTCCACCCCCCCCGTGCCCCCCCTCACACAGCAGCCACTGTTCCACCCTCCCCAGTGTCCCCCTCACACAGCAGCCACTGTACCATCCCCCAGTGTCTCCCTCACACAGCAGCCACTGTACCATCCCCCCCAGTGTCCCCCTCACACAGCAGTCACGGTACCATCCCCCCCAGTGTCCCCCTCACACAGTAGTTACTGTACCATCCCCCCCAGTGTCCCCCTCACACAGCAGTCACTGTACCATCCCCCAGTGTCCCCTCACACAGCAGCCACTGTACCACCCCCCAGTGGCCCCCTCACACAGCAGCCACTGTTCCACCCCCCAGTGCCCCCCCCCCCTCACACAGCAGCCACTGTTCCACCCCCCAGTGCCCCCCCCCCCTCACACAGCAGCCACTGTTCTACCCCCCAGTGCCCCCCCTCACACAGCAGCCACTGTTCCAGCCCCCAGTGCCCCCCCTCACACAGCAGCCACTGTTCCACCCCCCCAGAGTCCCCCCTCACACAGCAGCAACTGTTCCACCCCCCAGTGTCCCCCCTCACACAGCAGCCACTGTTCCACCCCCCAGAGTCCCCCCTCACACAGCAGCCACTGTTCCACCCCCAGTGTCCCCCCCTCACACAGCAGCCACTGTTCCATCCCCTCCCTCACACAGCAGCCACTGTTCCACCCCCCAGTGCCCCCCCACACACAGCAGCCATTGTTCCATCCCCCCCTCACACAGCAGTCACTGTTCCACCCCCCAGTGTCCCCTCCTCACACAGCAGCCACTGTTCCACCCCCCCCAGTGTCCCCCCCTCACACAGCAGCCACTGTTCCACCCCCCCAGTGTCCCCCCCTCACACAGCAGCCACTGTTCCACCCCCAGTGCCCCCCCCCCTCACACAGCAGCCACTGTTCCACCCCCCTAGTGCCTCCCCCTCACACAGCAGCCACTGTTCCAACCCCCAGTGACCCCCCTCATACAACAGCCACTGTTCCACCCCCCAGTGCCCCCCCCTCACACAGCAGCCACTGTTCCACCCCCCAGTGTCCCCCTCACACAGCAGCCACTGTTCCACCCCCCAGTGTCCCCCCCTCACACAACAGCCACTGTTCCAACCCCCAGTGCCCCCCCCTCACACAACAGCCACTGTTCCACCCCACAGTGTCCCCCTCACACAGCAGCCACTGTTCCACCCCCCCCCCCAGTGTCCCCCTCACTCAGCAGCCACTGTACCATCCCCCAGTGTCCCCCCTCACACAGCAGCCACTGTACCATCCTCCCAGTGTCCCCCTCACTCAGCAGCCACTGTACCATCCCCCCAGTGTCCCCCTCACTCAGCAGCCACTGTACCATCCCCCCTGTGTCACCCTCATTCAGCAGCCACTGTACCATCCCCCAGTGTCCCCCCTCACACAGCAGCCACTGTTCCACCCCCCGTGTCCCCCCCTCACAAAGCAGCCACTGTTTCACCCCCCCCAGAGTCCCCCCTCACACAGCAGCCACTGTTCCACCCCCCAGTGCCCCCCCCCCTCACACAGCAGCCACTGTTCCACCCCTCAGTGTCCCCCCTCACACAGCAGCCACTGTTCCACCCCCCAGTGTCCCCCCCCTCACACAGCAGCCACTGTACCACCCCCCCAGTGTCCCCCCCTCACACAGCAGCCACTGTTCCACCCCTCAGTGTCCCCCCTCACACAGCAGCCACTCTTCCACCCCTCAGTGCCCCCCCCCCCCTCACACAGCCACTGTTCCACCCCCCCAGAGTCCCCCCTCACACAGCAGCCACTGTTCCACCCCCCCCCAGTGCCCCCCCTCACACAGCAGCCACTGTTCCACCCCCCCCAGTGCCCCCCCTCACACAGCAGCCACTGTTCCACCCCCCCCAGTGCCCCCCCCCTCACACAGCAGCCACTGTTCCACCCCCCAGTGTCCCCTCACACAGAAGCCACTGTTCCACCCCCAGTACCCCCTCACACAGAAGCCACTGTTCCACCCCCAGTACCCCACCACCACCACCATACTAACAGTACCTGGTGACCCGCAGCCCTCGCTGAAGGAGAAGAAGCTGAAGGAGGCGAAGCACCACCAGCAGCACCAACAGCTCCACCAGCAGCACCAACAGCACCACCAGCAGCACCAACAGCACCACCACCAACAGCAGCACCACGCCGGGGCCAAGGCTTCACCCACCACACCCACCGACACCCACTCCGACACTCACTCCGACACGAAGAAGAAAGAAGACGTTAAATGAGAAAACGTGGAGGTGAAGACATGGTGAGTAGGCCTACATTATCATATTATCTTTAGGCCTAGTGGCCAAATTTATTAACTGTTTACCCTCACGTGATTCATTCAAAGACTAAGGTGTTTCTGCGACAGTTGCCACCATTGAGTGACACATTCCGAGCCTAGATGCCGTTCTTGTCTCCGACACATTTGTAATAGTGAAGAGCGCGCCACTGCACAAAGGAGGTAATAAAGCAGACGCACAAAATTACTGATCGATAGTATAAATAGCATTCATAATAAAACGCATTTGAAAGAGTGTGCTAAGAAGTAAGATGACAAACCCCCTGGGGTCAATATCTACATAATCAGCGCCGTGCTCTGAACATGGGTACACAGCATGGCGCTCGTGTGTCTCACAGTTACTAGACCACTGTAACACGGTCGCTGCTGCCATGGATCACCAGCAAAACGCAGATGTAACACGGATTTCGAGAAAGCTTTTGAGAAATATGACCATGGTGTTATTGCTCTGAAAATGTTCAAAAACAGAATTGCTCCCAGAGGGAGGATGACTGATCTTTAATTACCTAACGAACAGAAGCCATTGAGTAATACTGAACAACGGTAGCCTCGCACTGTTCTTTTGGGAGTATTTTGGGAGGTGACAAATACTCAGATGTATTTGTCCTCCTCTGTGAATGAACCAACAAATGTGTGTATAGGTCCAGTATTATTGGAGAGTTTTATTTTGTTTTTTGCATTCGTGAAAAGTTATTTTGGATTTTTGTTCTAATCACTTGTGTGTCTTTCTCTTCCATTTGTTTTTCTTAAATCTTTCTTAAAACAGCACCAACACAGTACACACCACCACCACAACAGTAGACACCACCACCACCACAGTAGACACCACCACAACAGTACACACCACCACCACCACCACAGTAGACACCACCACCACAGTAGACACCACCACCACCACAGTAGACACCACCACCACCACAGTAGACACCACCACCACCACAGTAGACACCACCACCACAGTAGACACCACCACCACCACAGTAGACACCACCACCACCACCACAGTAGACACCACCACCACCACAGTAGACACCACCACCACCACAGTAGACACCACCACCACAGTAGACACCACCACCACCACCACAGTAGACACCACCACCACAGTAGACACCACCACCACCACAGTAGACACGACGACCATAGTAGACTCCACCTCCACAGTAGATACCACCACCAAAACAGTAGACACCACTACCACCACCACAGAAGACACCACCACTACAGTAGACACTGCCACCACAGTAGACACCAGCACCACCACCACAGTAGACACCACCACCACAGTAGACTCCACCACCACCACCACCACAGTACACACCACCACTATCACAGTAGACACAACCACTACCACAGTAGACACCATCACCACCACCACAGTAGACACCACTACCACAGTAGACTCCACCACCACAGTACTCACCACTACTATCGGAGTAGACATCACCACTACCACAGTAGACACCACCACTATCACAGTAGACACCACCACCACCACAGTTGACACCACTACCACAGTAGACACCACCACCACAGTAGACACCGCCATCACCACAGTAGACACCACCACCACCACAGTAGACACCACCACCGCCACAGTATACACCACCACCACCACAGTAGACAGCTCCACCTCCACCTCCACAGTAGACACCACTACAGTAGACACCACCACCACAGCTTACACACCACCACCACAGCTTACACACCACCACCACAGTATACACCACCACCACAGCTTACACACCACCACCACAGCTTACACACCACCACCACAGCTTACACACCACCACCACAGCTTACACACCACCACCACAGCTTACACACCACCACCACAGTAGACACCAACACCACCACAGTTGACACCACTACCACAGTAGACACCACCACCACAGTACACACCACCACCACAGTACACACCACCACCACAGTAGACACCACCACCACAGTAGACACCACCACCACAGTAGACACCACCACCACAGTAGACACCACCACCACCACCACAGTAGACACCACCACCACAGTAGACACCACCACCACAGTAGACACCAACACCACCACAGTAGACACCACCACCACCACAGTAGACACCACCACCACAGTAGACAACACCACCACAGTAGACACCACCACCACAGTAGACACCACCACCACAGTAGACACCACCACCACAGTAGACACCACCACCACCACAGTAGACACCACCACCACTACAGTAGACACCACCACCAAAGTAGACACCACCACAACAGTACACACCACCACCACAGTAGACACCACCACTGCAGTAGACACCACCACCACAGTAGACACCACCACCACCACAGTAGACACCACCACCACAGTAGACACCACCACCACAGTAGACACCACCACCACAGTAGACACCACCACCACCACAGTAGACACCACCACCACAGTAGACAACACCACCACAGTAGACACCACCACCACAGTAGACACCACCACCACAGTAGACACCACCACCACAGTAGACACCACCACCACAGTAGACACCAACACCACCACAGTAGACACCACCACCACAGTAGACAACACCACCACAGTAGACACCATTACCACAGTAGACACCACCACAACAGTACACACCACCACCACCACAGTAGACACCACCACAGTAGACACCACCACCACCACAGTAGACACCACCACCACAGTAGACACCACCACCACAGTAGACAACACCACCACAGTAGACAACACCACCACAGTAGACACCACCACCACAGTAGACAACACCACCACAGTAGACAACACCACCACAGTAGACAACACCACCACAGTAGACAACACCACAGTAGACACCACCACCACAGTAGACACCACCACCACAGTAGACACCACCACCACAGTAGACAACACCACCACCACAGTAGACACCACCACAGTAGACACCACCACCACAGTAGACACCACCACCACAGTAGACACCACCACCACAGTAGACAACACCACCACAGTAGACAACACCACCACAGTAGACACCACCACCACAGTAGACAACACCACCACCACAGTAGACACCACCACCACAGTAGACAACACCACCACAGTAGACAACACCACCACAGTAGACAACACCACCACCACAGTAGACACCACCACCACAGTAGACAACACCACCACAGTAGACAACACCACCACAGTAGACAACACCACCACCACAGTAGACACCACCACCACAGTAGACAACACCACCACAGTAGACACCACCACCACAGTAGACAACACCACCACAGTAGACACCACCACCACAGTAGACAACACCACCACCACAGTAGACACCACCACCACAGTAGACACCACCACCACAGTAGACACCACCACCACAGTAGACAACACCACCACAGTAGACAACACCACCACAGTAGACACCACCACCACAGTAGACACCACCACCACAGTAGACACCACCACCACAGTAGACACCACCACCACAGTAGACAACACCACCACAGTAGACACCACCACCACAGTAGACACCACCACCACAGTAGACACCACCACCACAGTAGACAACACCACCACAGTAGACAAAGTTTGCTTGATGAACGAGCATCTGATGACGTAAAGTCATCTAAACTCATGTATAGCAACTATAAATAGTTTTAAGAAATGCGTTCTTACACGTGATATCCCCAGAGTGTCTTACATGTAAGATCCCCAGAGTGTCTTACATGTAAGATCCCCAGAGTGTCTTACATGTAAGATCCCCAGAGTGTCTTACATGTAAGATCCCCCAGTGTGTCTTACATGTAAGATCCCCAGTGTGTCTTACATGTAAGATCCCCAGAGTGTCTTACATGTAAGATCCCCCAGTGTGTCTTACATGTAAGATCCCCAGAGTGTCTTACATGTAAGATCCCCAGAGTGTCTTACATGTAAGATCCCCAGAGTGTCTTACATGTAAGATCCCCAGAGTGTCTTACATGTAAGATCCCCAGAGTGTCTTACATGTAAGATCCCCAGAGTGTCTTACATGTAAGATCCCAAGAGTGTCTTACATGTAAGATTCCAAGAGTGTCTTACATGTAAGATCCCAAGAGTGTCTTACATGTAAGATCCCAAGAGTGTCTTACATGTAAGATCCCAAGAGTGTCTTACATGTAAGATCCCAAGAGTGTCTTACATGTAAGATCCCCCAGTGTGTCTTACATGTAAGATCCCCCAGTGTGTCTTACATGTAAGATTCCCAGAATGTCTTACATGTAAGATCCCCCAGTGTGTCTTACATGTAAGATCCCCCAGTGTGTCTTACATGTAAGATCCCCAGTGTGTCTTAAATGTAAGATCCCCAGAGTGTCTTACATGTAAGATCCCCAGAGTGTCTTGCTTGTAAGATCCCCAGTGTGTCTTACATGTAAGATCCCCCAGTTGTCTTACATGTAAGATCCCCAGAGTGTCTTACATGTAAGATCCCCAGAGTGTCTTACATGTAAGATCCCCAGAGTGTCTTACATGTAAGATCCCCAGAGTGTCTTACATGTAAGATCCCAAGAGTGTCTTACATGTAAGATCCCAAGAGTGTCTTACATGTAAGATCCCCAGAGTGTCTTACATGTAAGATCCCCAGAGTGTCTTACATGTAAGATCCCAAGAGTGTCTTACATGTAAGATCCCAAGAGTGTCTTACATGTAAGATCCTAAGAGTGTCTTACATGTAAGATCCCAATAGTGTCTTACATGTAAGATCCCAAGAGTGTCTTACATGTAAGATCCCAAGAGTGTCTTACATGTAAGATCTCAAGAGTGTCTTACATGTAAGATCCCAAGAGTGTCTTACATGTAAGATCCCAAGAGTGTCTTACATGTAAGATCCCAAGAGTGTCTTACATGTAAGATCCCAAGAGTGTCTTACATGTAAGATCCCCAGAGTGTCCTACATGTAAGATCCCAAGAGTGTCCTACATGTGAGATCCCCAGAGTGTCTTACATGTAAGATCCCTATTGTGTCTTACATGTAAGATCCCCAGAGTGTCTTACATGTAAGATCCCCCAGTGTGTCTTACATGTAAGATCCCCCAGTGTGTCTTACACGTAAGATCCCCAGAATGTCTTACATGTAAGATCCCCCAGTGTGTCTTACATGTAAGATCCCCCAGTGTGTCTTACATGTAAGATCCCCAGTGTGTCTTAAATGTAAGATCCCCAGAGTGTCTTACATGTAAGATCCCCAGAGTGTCTTACATGTAAGATCCCCAGTGTGTCTTACATGTAAGATCCCCCAGTGTGTCTTACATGTAAGATCCCCAGAGTGTCTTACATGTAAGATCCCCAGAGTGTCTTACATGTAAGATCCCCAGAGTGTCTTACATGTAAGATACCCTGAGTGTCTTACATGTAAGATCCCTAGAGTGTCCTACATGTGAGATCCCCAGAGTGTCCTACATGTGAGTTCCCCAGAGTGTCTTACATGTAAGATCCCTAGAGTGTCCTACATGTGAGATCCCCAGAGTGTCCTACATGTGAGTTCCCCAGAGTGTCTTACTTGTAAGATCCCTATTGTGTCTTACATGTAAGATCCCCTGAGTGTCCTACATGTAAAATCCCCAGAGTGTCTTACATGTAAGATCCCCAGAGTGTCTTACATGTTGATCCCCAGAGTGTCTCACATGTAAGATCCACAGAGTGTCTTACATGTAAGATCCCCAGAGTGTCTTACATGTAAGATCCCCAGAGTGTCTTACATGTAAGATCCCCAGAGTGTCTTACATGTAAGATCCCCAGAGTGTCTTACATGTAAGATCCACAGAGTGTCTTACATGTAAGATCCCCAGAGTGTCTTACATGTAAGATCCCCAGAGTGTCTTACATGTAAGATCCCCAGTGTATCTCACATGTAAGATCCCCAGAGTGTCTTACATGTAAGATCCCCAGTGTCATACATGTAAGATCCTCAGAGTGTCTTACATGTAAGATCCCCCAGTGTGTCTTACATGTAAGATCTCCAGAGTGTCTTACATGTAAGATCCCCCAGTGTGTCTTGCATGTAAAATCCCCCGAGTGTCTTACATGTAAGATCCCCAGAGTGTCCTACTTGTAAAATCCCCAGAGTGTCTTACATGTAAGATCCCCAGAGTGTCCTACATGTAAAATCCCCAGTGTCTTACACGTAAGATCCCCAGAGTGTTTTACATGTAAGATCCCCCAGTGTGTCTTGCATGTAAAATCCCCAGAGTGTCTTACATGTAAGATCCCCAGAGTGTCCTACATGTAAGATCCCCAGAGTGTCTTACATGTAAAATCCCCAGTGTCTAGCTACACGTAGGATCCCCAGAGTGTCTTACATGTAAGATCCCAGAGTGTCCTACATGTAAGATCCCCAGAGTGTCTTACATGTAAGATCCCCAGAATGTCTTACATGTAAGATCCCCCAGTGTGTCTTACATGTAAGATCCCCATATTGTCTTACATGTAAGTTCTCCAGAGTGTCCTACATGTAAGATCCCCAGAGTGTCCTACATGTAAGATCCGTAGAGTGCCTTACATGTAAGATCCCCAGAGTGTCTTACATGTAAGATCCCCAGAGTGTCTTACATGTAAGATCTCCAGAGTGTCCTACATGTAAGATCCCCAGAGTGTCCTACATGTAAGATCCGTAGAGTGTCTTACATGTATGATCCCCAGAGTGTCTTACATGTAAGATCCCCAGAGTGTCTTACACGTGAGATCCCCAGAGTGTCTTACACGTGAGATCCCCAGAGTGTCTTATACGTGAGATCATCAGAGTGTCTTACATGTAAGATCCCCAGAGTGTCTTACATGTAAGATCCCAGAGTGTCCTACATGTAAGATCCCCAGAGTGTCTTACATGTAAGATCCCCAGAGTGTCTTACATGTAAGATCCCCCAGTGTGTCTTACATGTAAGATCCACAGAGTGTCTTACATGTAAGATCCCCAGAGTGTCTTACATGTAAGATCCCCAGAGTGTCTTACATGTAAGATCTCCAGAGTGTCTTACATGTAAGATCCCCCAGTGTGTCTTACATGTAAGATCCACAGAGTGTCTTACATGTAAGATCCCCAGAGTGCCTACATGTAAGATCCCCATCAGAGTGTCCTACATGTAAGATCCCCAGTGTATCTCACATGTAAGATCCCCAGAGTGTCTTACATGTAAGATCCCCAGTGTCATACATGTTAGATCCCCAGAGTGTCTTACATGTAAGATCCCCCAGTGTGTCTTACATGTAAGATCTCCAGAGTGTCTTACATGTAAGATCCCCCAGTGTGTCTTGCATGTAAAATCCCCCGAGTGTCTTACATGTAAGATCCCCAGAGTGTCCTACTTGTAAAATCCCCAGAGTGTCTTACATGTAAGATCCCCAGAGTGTCCTACATGTAAAATCCCCAGTGTCTTACACGTAAGATCCCCAGAGTGTTTTACATGTAAGATCCCCCAGTGTGTCTTGCATGTAAAATCCCCAGAGTGTCTTACATGTAAGATCCCCAGAGTGTCCTACATGTAAGATCCCCAGAGTGTCTTACATGTAAAATCCCCAGTGTCTAGCTACACGTAGGATCCCCAGAGTGTCTTACATGTAAGATCCCAGAGTGTCCTACATGTAAGATCCCCAGAGTGTCTTACATGTAAGATCCCCAGAATGTCTTACATGTAAGATCCCCCAGTGTGTCTTACATGTAAGATCCCCATATTGTCTTACATGTAAGTTCTCCAGAGTGTCCTACATGTAAGATCCCCAGAGTGTCCTACATGTAAGATCCGTAGAGTGCCTTACATGTAAGATCCCCAGAGTGTCTTACATGTAAGATCCCCAGAGTGTCTTACATGTAAGATCTCCAGAGTGTCTTACATGTAAGATCCCCAGAGTGTCCTACATGTAAGATCCGTAGAGTGTCTTACATGTATGATCCCCAGAGTGTCTTACATGTAAGATCCCCAGAGTGTCTTACACGTAAGATCCCCAGAGTGTCTTACACGTGAGATCCCCAGAGTGTCTTATACGTGAGATCATCAGAGTGTCTTACACGTGAGATCCTCAGAGTGTCTTACATGTAAGATCCCAGAGTGTCCTACATGTAAGATCCCCAGAGTGTCTTACATGTAAGATCCCCAGAATGTCTTACATGTAAGATCCCCTAGTGTGTCTTACATGTAAGATCCCCAGAGTGTCTTACATGTAAGATTCCCAGAGAGTCCTACATGTAAGATCCCCAGAGTGTCTTACATGTAAGATCTCCAGAGTGTCCTACATGTAAGATCCCCAGAGTGTCTTACATTTGAGATCCGCAGTGTCTTACATGTAAAATCCCCCTGAGTGTCTTACATGTAAGATCCCCAGAGTGTCTTACATGTAAGATCCGTAGAGTGTCCTACATGTATGATCCCCAGAGAGTCTTACATGTAAGATCCCCAGAGTGTCCTCCATGTAAGATCCCCAGAGTGTCCTCCATGTAAGGTCCCCATAGTGTATTACATGTAATATCCCCAGAGTGTCTTACATGTAAGATCCCCAGAGTGTCTTACATGTAAGATCCCCAGAGTGTCTTACATGTAACATCCCCAGAGTGTCTTACATGTGAGATCCCCCAGAGTGTCTTACATGTAACATCCCCAGAGTGTCTTACATGTGAGATCCCCAGAGTGTCTTACATGTAAGATCCCCAGAGTGTCTTACATGTAAGATCCCCAGAGTGTCTTACATGTAAGATCCCCAGAGTGTCTTACATGTAAGATCCCCAGAGTGTCCTACATGTAAGATCCCAAGAGTGTAGTACATGTGAGATCCCAAGAGTGTCTTACATATAAGATCCCCAGAGTGTCTTACATGTAAGATCCCCAGAGTGTCTTACATGTGAGATCCCCAGAGTGTCTTACATGTAAGATCCCCAGAGTGTCTTACATGTGAGATCCCCAGAGTGTCTTACATGTAACATCCCCAGAGTGTCTTGCATGTGAGATCCCCAGAGTGTCTTACATGTAACATCCCCAGAGTGTCTTGCATGTGAGATCCCCAGAGTGTCTTACATGTAACATCCCCAGAGTGTCTTACATGTGAGATCCCCAGAGTGTCTTACATGTAAGATCCCCAGAGTGTCTTACATGTAAGATCCCCAGAGTGTCTTACATGTAAGATCCCCAGAGTGTCTTACATGTAACATCCCCAGAGTGTCTTACATGTGAGATCCCCAGAGTGTCTTACATGTAAGATCCCCAGAGTGTCTTACATGTAAGATCCCCAGAGTGTCTTACATGTAAGATCCCCAGTGTGTCTTACATGTCACTCCCCAGAGTGTCTTACATGTAAGATCCCCAGAGTGTCTTACATGTAAGATCCCCAGAGTGTCTTACATGTAAGATCCCCAGTGTGTCTTACATGTCACTCCCCAGAGTGCTATATAACTCTGACCTTGAGGTGATGAGCCAAGACAGATGAGACAACACGCCGTCCTCATCACGTGATGGACAATTCACTCAACAATGTCTCTTGTATTTGCAGCTGTTGGTGAGGTTCTTCGTGCCTGTAGCAGCCTGAAGGGTGGAGATGGCTGATCATTTTTATATCTGAAGGTGGAGCCGCCCCTGCTGGAGCCTCACACGCACAAAGGCCAACGGAGGCTCGGTTGGGGGCGGCTTCTCCCCATCGTAGAGTTTATCCGCTGACTGGGCTACTCAAGAGGCATCATGGCGACCTCTCTCAGGCCTGCCACGGTGCTCTATTCTCCTTGGGCTCGTGGATGCCCAGTCCATAGCTCTCTGGAACTCGTGGAGAGCGTTCAAAGCTCTCCAGAGCTCTAGAAGTGTATTCACAGCGTCCTATGGGTCGTCGACACGAAGTTCGCCGCTCTTCAGCAGTTGTGGAAACGGAGTTCGAAGTTCCTCAGAGCTTGTGGAAACGGAGTTCGCAGTTCCTCAGAGCTTGTGGACACGGATACTGAAATAATCTTGGATTTCCCGAGGCCAAGTCTAGCACATTCTTCCGCTCAAATTCTTAAGAGGACAGAGCCCATTCATCAATGTAATTAATATTCGAGATATATGTCAAATCCTTTAAAATATGTTATTCAATAATATACCCTTACCTTGTAGGACAGGATTTCTTCCTACAAGCGTTTAGGCACATTGGTAGGGCATCCTCCCAGGATTCTAGCATCTTTTTCAAACTCTCCATTCCATCCTCTTTCAGTAATCAAAACACGTGCACAAGCATTACCACCTCTGCTTTGTATATACGCAGCATGAAGCATTTCAAGCTTATTTATGCTGTAGCGAGACGACTAATGCCTTCGTAAATGTCTCCTTGTTTGCTTGGTTAGTTGCCATTTAGCCTTCAGTCTTGCGAAGTGCCCGTTGCTATTCTAGCAAGTAGAATGGCAACTGCCACCTGGCCAAGTCTACTGACTACTATTGCTGGGCCAAGTAGAGTGGTTGCTCTCACTCAACCAAATAGGCTACATGTTGTCACTTAGCCAAGTAGATTGGCTGTCACTCGACCAAGTAAACTAGCATTTGTCACTCTATCGAGTGGCTGTTGTCACTCGATCAAGTGGAGAAGCAGCTGTCACTCGACTAAACACAGCAGTTGCTGCCACTTGGCCTCAGGCCTAATATAGCGGATACTACGGTTCAACGCAGTGGAGAAGCTGTTATCAATCCATCAAGTAGAGTCGCTGGTATCACTCCTGCAGGTAGTGTAGGTGCTGCCCCTCGACCAAACCAAGTAGCAGCTATATCACTCGACCAAGAAGAGAGTAGCGATGATCACACGGCCGCCTACAGAAGCTGCTATCACTCGGCCAAGCAGGGCGACAAGTGCTACTCGGCCAAGGACAATGTTCCTCTCGGCCAGAACGTTCGGGCCTCGTTCGTATAAGATTTGACGCACAAATTCAATGTTTCCTTTTGTTTCAGTATTGCTCAAAAAACTTGCAACGACGTGGCTGATATGTATTGACCAAAACAGCAATTCGACTCCTGCTTGAGACGCCACTGTCTTGACGGACTCTCAATGGTGCCTCGATCAATGTTATCTTAAGAGTTACCTTTTGGGGGATAATTATTGAATCTAGCTATTTATGTACCTATCAAATGCTATTATTTTTCCAAAAAAAAAACACAAAAAAATCTTCAGAGAGGATTTTTGGAAGTGGAACCCACCTGAGGGGCCAGTTTGACCGACTTTTGAAGGGTTCTCTATATATTTTATCACATAGAAATCTTGAGTGCATTTGGCCATAATGTAGAAACATAATTTTCTATAGGAGATGAGAACTAAATACACAACAAGTCATTTTATTCCATAGTGAGATTTTAAGTAAATGAAAACAAATAACCCTTCAAGTTCTCATTATTTGTTTTCTTGGTGAATGAAGCTTTTGTAAAGGTAATTCTTTGGAGCATGTGTGTAAAAATAACATTTCAATTGACAAGTGTCGCTGGAAGACATTTAGTGTACATAAGTAACGAGGATCAGGGTGAGTACTGTACGTACAGTCGTCTGCTGGCAACCTCGAACACTGTATATTCTCACCCCTACCCCCCAGGGGCAAGCCTGGGCACGAGTCGTTGATGTCGCAGTCAATGATGATCCTCTGTTGATCTGACGTTGATGTAGCAGTGAGTCAACACTGATGCCCTGTTGATCTGACGTTGATGTACCGTTATATTACTGTATATAACATGGCGTTGATGTCAGCGGTGGGCTGTGAGGCGCCTGTTTCCAACCCTTGCCACCAGAGGCACTCGGGTGCTGAACATCACCGTGAACTGAACAGCAAGACTGAGTCTTGAGGGACCCCTTTGTTGCAGTGAAGACTGTATCAGTTTATTTCTGTATACTGTATGTTTGGTCGAGGAGGTCTGTTGACCATGGTAGTCACACGTTCATATAAACGGCACCACTTTAACTGACTTTCAGTTGGAGAGGAAGTATATATAGGATACTTTTACAGCACTTATAGTATACTCTTTGGTTGGCATGTAGAGTGATGGTTCTCTTCTGATGATGGAAGATATCGCAGTAATGAGAGAAGGCGCTAGGACACTAGGAAGGTATACCAGGACAAGGAGCCAGGATATGAGACAGACTAAGTGCTGGGATATGAGACAGACTAAGTGCTGGGATATGAGACAGACTAAGTGCTGGGATATGAGACAGACTAAGAGCTTGCATATAAAGACTGATAAAGAGCCAGGACATGATAACATAGTGGCGGAACAGTGCCCGGCGGCTACTTAGATCATCGGGGGATCGAACGTCGATCTTGCAATGAGGTAGGAATGAGGCGCCTCACTGACTCACCGTTGAGCCAGACTCATCGATGTGCTGCGGTGTTTGTGTGTGTGTGTGTGTGTGTAACACGCGTACTCATCAAGTCATTCAGGTTATTCATGGTGTTAAAATCCCCTTGTACCCCCATTTATACATTTAAAAAAATATGAAAATTACATGTATTTTATATTCAATATATAAATCTTGTTCTTGCGTGCTCTTAGAAAAATATTCCTTCTCTTTATTGTTTGAAATATAATTCAAAAGTACACAAAAAAATACAAAAAATGTGTCGTTCATGCTGATTGAAAATACTGAACATATCAGAAAATGCCCCAATATTTTGTACCGTAGATTGTACCACGCTTCCTATATAACTTGATATACCCAGACAGTAGTATATTTATGTACTCTGTTGATGCTATAAGCTGCAGTACTGAACAGGGACGAGCTGGTAACGCAGTCCACTGTCCCAGCTGGTACTGAGGTAAATAATGGGTAAGTAGGTAGTTCTAGGGAAACTGACTACAGAAGGGTAATTGTGGTCTTGTTTATTATCCAGCTAGGGAGGAAATGGTCGACTTACCCAGTCAGTTGACGGGGAAATGGTCGACTTACCCAGTCAGTTGACGGGGAAATGGTCGACTTACCCAGTCAGTTGACGGGGAAATGGTCGACTTACCCAGTCAGTTGACGGGGAAATGGTCGACTTACCCAGTCAGTTGACGGGGAAATGGTCGACTTACCCAGTTAGTTGACGGGGAAATGGTCGACTTACCCAGTCAGTTGACGGGGAAATGGTCGACTTACCCAGTCAGTTGACGGGAAAATGATCGACTTATCCAGTCAGTTGACGGGGAAATGGTCGACTTACCCAGTCAGTTGACGGGGAAATGGTCGACTTACCCAGTCAGTTGATGGGGAAATGGTCGACTTACCCAGTCAGTTGACGGGGAAATGGTCGACTTACCCAGTCAGTTGACGGGGAAATGGTCGACTTACCCAGTCAGTTGACGGGGAAATGGTCGACTTACCCAGTCAGTTGACGGGGAAATGGTCGACTTACCCAGTCAGTTGACGGGGAAATGGTCGACTTACCCAGTCAGTTGACGGGGAAATGGTCGACTTACCCAGTTAGTTGACGGGGAAATGGTCGACTTACCCAGTCAGTTGACGGGGAAATGGTCGACTTACCCAGTCAGTTGACGGGGAAATGGTCGACTTACCCAGTTAGTTGATGGGGAAATGGTCGACTTACCCAGTTAGTTGACGGGGAAATGGTCGACTTACCCAGGTAGTTGATGGGGAAGTGGTCGACTTACCCAGGCAGTTGATGAGGAAATGGTCGACTTACCCAGTCAGCTAAGGGGGGGGGGATAATTAACGATTGGCCTCTTAACTAGCCAAGTAAACAGTTTCTGTTCGCCTCGTTGTCCAAGATTCGACTATTCCCAGCACCTTATATTAATGACTCAATGGTATATCCCAGAAGACATATAAGAGCCAACAGAATAGTCAACTAATGGTCAAACTATTATAGTCTCTCCGAACGAATTATAATATAACTCTCGAGTGAAGAATTGAATTCCATAATGTTATACATTACTTCAGAAACTTGGCTCATTAATTAATCAAGATTTTAATTTTTTTATCATTTGTGCATTTAAGTATTTTCAAAGGGTAAAAATTTAATGAATATTTTGTAAGTAGTTTGATTACAAAAAAATAATGTTCATGACTATTTTGCAACGTAAATAATGAAATAAAAATCCTCTAGAAAATATATATTTTTTTTAAGTTCAGGAAATGTTTTCATTGTAGTCGGATTTTGGAAAATTTGCTTCAAGTTCAAGATATTTAAACGTTAAACTTTTATGATGGGTTTTATTTAATTAAAACGAAAACATATCTTCAAAAGGCTTTTATATTTTGAAGCATTTCATAGAAACGTGTCGATTCAGAATTTGTAATTACTAATTTTTATTGTTATTATTATTTTATCCTTAGGTAACTCCAGAGACTCAGGATAACAGGTGCATAATTTTGAAGGAAATTTCTGTGGTTTTGAAAAAAAAAAAATTGTGTAGTTTTGAAGAAAAATCGAGTAGTTTTTCTAAAAAATGTGAGTAGTTTTCAAAGAAATTTGAGTAGCTTTTTTAAAAATTGTAGCAACTTTCAACGAAATTTGAAAAATTTCTTACCACGGTGAGAGTAATTTTCAGTTCAAAATGAACTTAAAAAATATTGTGATTTAATATTGAACTGACCTCCCAAACATTTCTCTAAAAGACCGTGATCTAAATTTACCAAGTATTTTTGTACAGTTTTGAACAAATCTGAACAATGGAGGGGAAGCTTGCATGTGGCACAGAGGCTCATCTTTATCTATGTCTGTAAAAAAAAAAAATGAAAAATTTATGTACATATTAAATTGTGCCTTGAAATGTGACATTATAATTCTCTGTATTAAAATATCCTCTCTAGAAACACAACTTTATGCTAGGACCTCTAGAGAGTACTAGGACCTCTTAGTACTAGGACCTCTTAGTACTAAGACCTCTTAGAGAGTACTAGGATCTCTTAGAGAGTATTAAGACCTCTTAGAGAGTACTAGGACCTCTTAGAGAGTACTAGGAGCTCTTAGAGAGTACTAGGATCTCTAGAGAGTACTAGGACCTCTAGAGAGTACTAGGACCTCTAGAGAGTACTAGGACCTCTTAGAGAGTACTAGGACCTCTAGAGAGTACTAGGACCTCTTAGAGAGTACTAGGACCTCTTAGAGAGTACTAGGACCTCTTAGAGAGTACTAGGACCTCTAGAGAGTACTAGGACCTCTAGAGAGTACTAGGACCTCTAGAGAGTACTAGGACCTCTTAGAGAGTACTAGGACCTCTAGAGAGTACTAGGACCTCTTAGAGAGAAATACGACGTCTAGAGAGTACTAGGACCTCTTAGAGAGTACTAGGACCTCTAGAGAGTACTAGGCCCTCTAGAGAGTATTTGGACCTCTTAGAGAGTACTAGGCCCTCCAGAGAGTACTAGGACCTCTTAGAGAGTACTAGGACCTCTTGGAGAGTACTAGGAGCTCTTAGAGAGTATTAAGACCTCTTAGAGAGTACTAGGACCTTAGAGAGTACTAGGACCTCTACAGAGTACTAGGACCTCTTAGAGAGTACTAGGACCTCTACAGAGTACTAGGACCTCTAGAGAGTACTAGGACCTCTTAGAGAGTACTAGGACCTCTAGAGAGTACTAGGACCTCGTAGAGAGTACTAAGACCTCTTAGAGAGTACTAAGACCTCTTAGAGAGTACTAGGACCTCTTAGAGAGTACTAGGACCTCTAGAGAGTACTAGGACCTCTTAGAGAGTACTAGGACCTCTTAGAGAGTACTAGGACCTCTTAGAGAGTACTAGGACCTCTTAGAGAGTACTAGGACCTCTAGAGAGTACTAGGACCTCTAGAGAGTACTAGGACCTCTAGAGAGTACTAAGACCTCTAGAGAGTACTAAGACCTCTTAGAGAGTACTAGGACCTCTTGGAGAGTACTAGGACCTCTTAGAGAGTACTAGGACCTCTAGAGAGTACTAAGACCTCTTAGAGAGTACTAGGACCTCTAGAGAGTACTAAGACCTCTAGAGAGTACTAGGACCTCTTAGAGAGTACTATGACCTCTAGAGAGTACTAGGACCTCTAGAGAGTACTAGGACCTCTTAGAGAGTACCAGAACCTCTTAGAGAGTACTTAGACCTCTTAGAGAGTACTAGAACCTCTTAGAAAGTACTAAGACCTGTAGAGAGTACTAGGACCTCGTAGAGAGTACTAGGACCTCTTAGAGAGTACTAGGACCTCTAGCAAGTACTAGGACCTCTTAGAGAGTACTAGGACCTCTAGAGAGTACTAGGACCTCTACAGAGTACTAGGACCTCTAGAGAATACAAGGACCTCTAGAGAGTACTAGGATCTCTTGAGAGTACTAGGACCTCTAGAGTGAGTACTAGGACCTCTAGAGAGTACTAGGACCTCTGAGTGAGTACTAGGACCTCTAGAGAGTACTAGGACCTCTAGAGAGTACTAGGATCTCTAGAGAGTACTAGGACCTCTAGAGTGAGTACTAGGACCTCTAGAGAGTACTAGGATCTCTAGAGTGAATACTAGGACCTCTAGAGAGTACTAGGACCTCTAGAGAGTACTAGGACCTCTTAGAGAGTACTAAGACCTCTTAGAGAGTACTAGGACCTCTTAGAGAGTACTAAGACCTCTTAGAGAGTACTAGGACCTCTAGAGAGTACTAGGACCTCTTAGAGAGTACTAGGACCTGTAGAGAGTATTAGGACCTCTTAGAGAGTACTAGGACCTCTTAGAGAGTACTAGGACCTCTTAGAGAGTACTAAGACCTCTTAGAGAGTACTAGGACCTCTAGAAAGTACTAGGACCTATAGAGAGTACTAACATCTCTAGAGACTACTAGGACCTCTTAGAGAATGCTAAGACCTCTTAGAGAGTACTAAGACCTCTTAAAAGAGTACTAGACCCTCTAGAAAGTACTAGGACCTCTAGAAAACAGATACTATTCCGAGTCTTCCAGTGTTATGAGATTACATAAACAAATTCTCCAAACAGGAGCGTTGGTGTTCTTTTCAACAGGACAACAGATAAGCTTTTTAGCAGGGCTATTGATGTGCTTCATAACAGGAATATAAATGTTCTTCACAGTAGAAATATATTGACTTTCTTCATAACAAGAATATAGATGTTCTTCAGTCCAAAAAACATAGATACTGTATTCTTTACATCAGGAATATAGACATTTTTCACAGTAAAATAATATATATTAGATTCACTTTATTCCAGCATCTTGTGAACTCTCTTTGTGTGGAAATTACATCAGCACAAGAGAAAGGTAGACGATCCACATATATATAATACATATGCACTATAGAAAGATCCATAAGTTAATACATAGCTTTGCAAAAATAGATTACACGTATATAGAAATATGCTTCATATATGTGAAAAAATAGCCTTTGAGATATATTGACATAGGATTATCACACTACTGGGGAGGGCTCACACCACTGGGCTCACAACACTGGGCTCACAACACTGGGCTCACACCACTGGGCTCACAACACTGGGCTCACAACACTGGGCTCACAACACTGGGCTCACAACACTGGGCTCACACCACTGGAAGACTTTGATATAAGCTGAGATTCCTTTACCACTTGCTCCTCTTACTCACAGGAGGGGAGACTCTTGCTGCTCTTACTCACAGGAGGGGAGGCTCTTGCTGCTCTTACTCACAGGAGGGGAGACTCTTGCTGCTCTTACTCACAGGAGGGGAGACTCTTGCTGCTCTCACTCACAGGAGAGGGACTCCAGTTCCCTCCGGCTAGCTGTATGGTCGGCTAATATTAAAGTGTTTGTACAAGGGACATATTTCTCAATAAATGTCTACCCAAATGTGTGAGTTTCCTTTCCTCCTCTGCCTCGACCCCTCGGCCGCTTCTCCGGGGTCGACGAACGTCAAATTGAAAGCGGTTTGGACTGTGCCAAAGCTTGGGAAGCTGGACAAACCCCCGATCCTGGCCTACGGAGGAGTCATTGTTGCAGTCCTTGTAATTGCAATTCAGCACCGGAATTCTGACTTTCTAGTCGAGCTGAAGGATTAATTACGCTGTTGGTGCTGGCTTGTAGACAGAAGGACAATATTCTATCTAAAGGGAGAGGGAGCATTGTGTATTGGCTCAATCTTAACACTCAAAACAATCTCTTAATTCTCTGTACTGATAAAGAGTGCCTGAGCTCTTGAAAGACTGCATTGAGTGTCTGTGTCTAGTTTCCTGTTAATTGGCTTGTAAGTTATAATGCATCACAGTTTAATTAGCTGTGATAAAAACAAATGGTAACTTTTTACCTGAAAGTATCTTCCTTTATCATTCTGATTAAATTTATTCTATCGTCTGCCTTTGTTTATATGTTTAAGTTAATTATTAATCTCCCTGGTTACCTGAGGCACCGGGCATTCCACCCTCCCTATTTTCTTAACGTTAATCAAGCTAGACAAACTGAAGTTAGTTTTCTTTCACGAAATATACGAGCAATTAAGAATTTGCTTCACAAACTCATGATCACTCATCTGAAGTCGCCAGCGGCACTATGGTAGGCGAGTAAGTAATTACTCAGAAAAAGCACCAATCAGGGGAGACTATGTAGCAGTAGGTTGACCAGACCACATACTAGAAAGTGAAGGGACGACGACGTTTTGGTCCGTCCTGGACCATTCTCAAGTCGATTGTGAATGTCACAATCGACTTGCGAATGGTCCAGGACGGACCGAAACGTCGTCGTCCCGTCATTTTCTAGTGTGTGGTCTGGTCAACATACCTCAGCCACGTTATTGTGACTCATCGCCTGCATATGTAGCAGTAGGTAAGTAAGTAATTAGCGGACAGAAGTCCGCTAATTACTCTAGAAGTGTGTAATTAACATTTCTGTAACTCTAGAGAAGTGAGGTGACTCTAGAAGTGTGAGTTAACAAGCTGAGTGAAGTTGTTTACAGACGATGAGGTTGCGAAGATCCGTGGACAGTGTGTATGAACCAGATGGGCGTCATTAAGAAGCATACAAGATATACACACACATACACCGAGCTCTTGCACCTGTCATCTGGGTGACTAAATACGTGATTGATATTCTCAGTGAGCCTTGTATAGCCCCTTAGCTGCGCACATATTTAAAAATATTACATCGTGGCGCACATGAGTCAAAACAGTTAACACGTCAACTAAGAACAATTACAAATATACACATGGAGATCTGGGGTGGAAACAACAGTTGAGTAGCGGAGTTGCAGAATCTGTGGTGAGAGTGACGGACACCGCCTTGACCACTTCCTGAGGGTATGTGGACATGTAAGAGACATTAGAAATATGTAACCATAATAAACCCCAGCGCAAGGTAACCTTGCGGTTATCTTGCAGTCATTTAGGGGCTTAGCGTCCTCGCGGCCCGGTCGTCGACCAGGCCTCCTGGTTGCTGGACTGATCAACCAGGCTGTTGGACGAGGCTGCTCGCAGCCTGACGTATGGCTCACAGCCTGGTTGATCAGGTATCCTTTGGAGGTGTTTATCCAGTTCTCTCTTGAACATTGTGAGGGGTCGGCCAATTATGCCCCTTATGTGTAGTGGAAGCGTGTTGAACAGTCTCGGGCCTCTGATGTTGATAGTTCTCTCTTGAACACTGTGAGGGGTCGGCCAGTTATGTCCCTTATGTGTAGTGGAAGCGTGTTGAACAGTCTCGGGCCTCTGATGTTGATAGTTCTCTCTTGAACACTGTGAGGGGTCGGCCAGTTATGTCCCTTATGTGTAGTGGAAGCGTGTTGAACAGTCTCGGGCCTTTGATATTGATAGTTCTCTCTTGATCACTGTGAGGGGGCGGCGAATTATGTCCCTTATGTGTAGTGGAAGCGTGTTGAACAGTCTCGGGCCTCTGATGTTGATAGTTCTCTCTTGAACACTGTGAGGGGTCGGCCAGTTATGTCCCTTATGTGTAGTGGAAGCGTGTGAACAGTCTCGGGCCTCTGATGTTGATAGTTCTCTCTTGAACACTGTGAGGGGTCGGCCAGTTATGTCCCTTATGTGTAGTGGAAGCGTGTTGAACAGTCTCGGGCCTCTGATGTTGATAGTTCTCTCTTGAACACTGTGAGGGGTCGGCCAGTTATGCCCTTTATGTGTAGTGGAAGTGTGCTGAACAGTCCCTGGAGAGAGTCTACGGGCTCACCATAGACCGTGCTACTTGGAACTATTTGTTTCAAGTAGCGAATCTTAAACAACAACACAACCTGGAGAAGTAGTTTCTCTCTCTTAGCGCACTTGGATCACCTTGGTGTCTCTCACCCGTCGTCCGCCTTCAGCCTACGCCGTGTGTCTGATGCCCTGGTGTGGTAGCTGTCATCAGTACATCAGTATATCTTCATGCATTGTATTCATTTAATTTCTTACAGTTTATTTTTGTATTAATTTTCATAACATCTTGTCCACCTTTGGAATATGTGATCGCCAAGTGGTCTCAGGTGCCATTAACAAATCTCTAACCCTGTTTCATGGAGGACAGAAGAACATGTATATATATGCTGGTTAGCATTGTAAATATGTGGCCACATCTGTGGTAGAAAATAATAAAAAAAGTATATTATTTTCATTATTTGTTTGATGATTTTCATTTGTTTCCACCAGCGACTTACACACTGCAAGGCCAATAGCACCAATTTTTTATTTATTTGTGTGATGGAGAGCCATACCCTCTTGGTTCAGTATAGCTGCAGTACCACAACCCGTAACAAGATACTTTTCTTAAGAGATTCAACCATTTTGCACCCTCAAGATAACGTAAATTTTAGATGTTGGCAAATGTTAATCTTCTTATTTTGATAAGTAAGTGTTCTCAGTGTTTCATTTGAGACAGTTAAGCAAGTCCCAGCTTTGTCTGGGTACAAGTGACAGGATGAACAACCCAGTGGGTTTTCTTCCTATTGGGGAGTGTTGTACATGCTGCTATGGCGGTGTGTCCACTCACAGGATGAGTGGCGCTGCCCAATACTGTCACTATGGCGGTGTGTCTAGTCACAGGATGAATGACGCTGCCCAATACTGTCACCATGGCGGTATGTCCACTCACAGGATGAGTGGCGCTGCCCAATACTGTCACTATGGCGGTGTGTCCAGTCACAGGATGAGTGGCGCTGCCCAATACTGTCACTATGACGGTGTGTCCACTCACAGGATGAGTGGCGCTGCCCAATACTGTAACCATGGCGGTGTGTCCACTCACAGGATGAGTGGTGCTGCCCAATACTGTCACTATGGCGGTATGTCCAGTCACAGGATGAGTGACGCTGCCCAATACTGTCACAATGGCATTGAGTCCACTCACAGGATGAGTGGCGCTGCCCAATACTGTCACTATGGCGGTGTGTCTAGTCACAGGATGAATGACGCTGCCCAATACTGTCACCATGGCGGTGTGTCCACTCACAGGATGAGTGGCGCTGCCCAATACTGTCACCATGGCAGTGTGTCCACTCACAGGATGAGTGGCGTTGCCCAATACTGTCACCATGGCGGTGTGTCCACTCACAGGATGAGTGGCGCTGCCCAATACTGTCACTATGGCAGTGTGTCCACTCACAGGATGAGTGGCGCTGCCCAATACTGTCACTATGGCAGGGTGTCCACTCACAGGATGAGTGGCGCTGCCCAATACTGTCACTATGGCAGTGTGTCCACTCACAGGATGAGTGGCTCTGCCCAATACTGTCACCATGCCGGTGTGTCCACTCACAGGATGAGTGGCGCTGCCCAGTACTGTCACCATGGTGGTGTGTCCACTCACAGGATGAGTGGCGCTGCCCAATACTGTCACTATGGCGGTCTGTCCACTCACAGGATGAGTGGCGCTGCCCAATTCTGTCACTATGGCAGTGTGTCCACTCACAGGATGAGTGGCGCTGCCCAATACTGTCACTATGGCGGTGTGTCCACTCACAAGATGAGTGACGCTGCCCAATACTGTCACTATGACGGTGTGTCCACTCACAGGATGAGTGTCGCTGCCCAATACTGTCACTATGGTGGTGTGTCCACTCAGAGGATGAGTGGCGCTTCCCAATACTATCACTATGGCGGTGTGTCCACTCACAGGATGAGTGGCGCTGCCCAATACTGTCACTATGGCGGTGTGTCTACTCACAGGATGAGTGGCGCTGTCCAATACTGTCACTATGGCGGTGTGTCCTCTCACAGGATGAGTGGTGCTGCCCAATACTGTCACTATGGCGGTGTGTCCACTCACAGGATGAGTGACGCTGCCCAATACTGTCACTATGGCGGTGTGTCCACTCACAAGATGAGTGACGCTGCCCAATACTGTCACTATGGCGGTGTGTCCACTCACAGGATGAGTGGCGCTGC